GGGGGGGGGGGGGGGGGGGGACACACACTTCCTAGGTCAGGACAGATGACATTGATGCAAAGAGGGGACCTGCAGCATGGCCAGCCTGGAAAAACATAAATCTATTGAGGATTTACTCAATGCAGCTGTTGCATGCCACCCTGCATTGTGTGTTAAGTAGGTGGTCATATAAATTTCAGTAATAAATAAATAAGTACATAAAGTCCATATAGCCCATGTAAGAAGCTTCATACTTTAAGAGACTTGCTTTGCTAGAACAATTCACCTGTTTGCCAGGACAGAACCAGCTGGGGAAGGTTTTCTCTCTGCTCCACTCTCAATACTTAATTTTATCCTTTGCTTACTTCTTTGCTAATTTTTGCTACTGGCTCTTCAAAAATACTAGATATTGTTTGAAACTGACTCCCTAGAAATTAAGAAGCAAAGCCTTGCTTCATAATGTAAGAATTAGCTACTTCCTTCCCAGCTTCAAAAGAAGACTAAATATTCTCTATGCAAGAGAACAGTCAATAAACCACTTCGCTTCATAAGAAGATGATTCACTTTAGAGAAGGGGCATGCTAAATTCATTTCCTATCTGAATTTACCTACCTCTCATTTTTCCCTTGCAATATATCTTCAGCTGATTTCTTCCCACATAGTTACACAAATATATTCCTGATGTTTTTCAATTGTAGCATTTATATACACTTTTGATATGTAGCTGAAATACAGGCATACATGCAACTACCATACATGATAGTTGTATGTACTGTATATCTGAATTTCAGCTACCTATGAAAAGACATTCCATATCTTCAAGCAGCTAAACCAGAACAAAGGTCATGAACAGGCAAAATTGGGAAGTGTGGACTTTGCTCTTTCAAAATGTGAACCTCCTTCACGGGCAAAGGAAAAGCATGAGTTTAGTCATCTGTCAAAAGCTGGTTCCCAAGTAGAGGAGGAGGAAATTTAAATGTTAATCCCCGCATCTCCAGACAAAGCGAGAATATCTGTTTAGCCATCTGATAAACCTCTGTCATCCTGCAAAGGGGGAATGAGTTATGACATATGGATAAAATCATCCAGATGGCCCTACTTTCCAAGACTTTTAACAAACCATCTGGGATGCCTGGACAAGAGTACAAAATCATGATAATCCCAGTCAAACCACAACCTATGGTAAGCTTATGGAAGACCATATATCCCAGTGTAGAGAATAGAAAATGTAAGAGGAAGATGAAGCTAAGGGGAAAAAAAACCCCCCAAACCCCCAAAGTCCTAATAAAGCTGAAGCTGGTTTTAGTCCCATTCTTACCATAAAAGCTTTGTTTAATACGCTTTCCTTTCTACTGCAGCTTAAATCTTTATCTTGAATTAATGGAAGCACTTCATGGGTAAAAGTAAGCGAATCCACTGGTATTTTATTCAGCCGAGCATAATTCTGACACACAGCAATAAGAAATCCTACAAGAAAAAAATATACACATTATAGCCGCTAGCATATGATAGCACATTGGAGGCCACATGTTATATCTGGTTTTGGTCTCAGAACAGTTGCAACATCATCTAAAAGTTGGGGACATGTCCTCTTGTCATAGCTGGATCAATTCCTAATTATTTTGGAGTTGGCTGGTGCCACAGACCTCCACAGGGAGGATGGACCTATGTGATCCATCTGCCCCAGGCGTCTAAAGGAATTGCTCAGCTTCCAGAGGGTGCTTGGGAAGTTTCTGGAGTTGATGGTGACAATTGAGCTGAGTAATTAGCTGCCTGCTATAATAGGGAGGTGGTAACACCCTTGGATTAAATTGTACCTGAATGGCCTCTCCTGGCTTGTCAGTAGGGCTCCTTCATTTACCAATGAACTCTAGGAATGAAATAAATCAAGAGATGCCTACAGCACTGCTGGCATAAAATGAAGAGTGAATCAATCTGAGCATGGGTAAAAGCCCATATCTGGACCCACACTGTGGCCATCAGAGTGGTGATATATCAGTCTCAGTATTTCTTGCATTCATGGATCACCATCTAGCAGCCCTCTTTAAGGTGATCCAGACCATATTCAGGGAAGATGGGCAGAATGAACATTTGCAGGGCAATTATGAAAAATCTTCTAAGCATCCAGAGGATAAAATCCTTCAAATCTGCAGAGAGATTAATACTAGCTGACAAATCTAGAGAGGATGAATGAAACTTTGCCTTGCAAGGTTATCTGGGATGAGGGTTTTTTTTCCCCTTTGAGTCCTGAGGAAGTAGAATTCTCTGCAGCATACACCATTTGTACTCTGTAGACTGGACATAGAACCTCCAAGGAAGTTATGGTGGGGGTTGGGCCATGACGGTTGTAGGTGCATTCTTGAGGGAGTGGATGTTGCCACTTTCCTTGAAGGAGATGGTAATGCACTCCCTCCTCAAGAATTCATAATAACCTGGTTATGCTGGACATTTATCAACTTGCCTTCAACCTGCCCTTTTGGGGAAGACCGTCCTGCACACTGCACCAATTCTGGTACTGATGGATCCAGGAGGAGATGTAAATGAAAATTTAACCAAGGAACAATGGGAGACGAATGTGTTTAAGAACCAGCTCTAGGATGCTATGAAGTTGAATATATCCTCTATGGCTGATATTTGCTGGTAAGCATTGCACTCTGTGGCTCTGTTTATTAGGGATACCCAATTCAAGAGACTCAATAACAAAGCATGTAAGGGAAGGATCGCTTGGCCATACTATACATCCAAGGCAGCACCTGTAAACTGCCAGTTTTGAATTAGGATAAGCAATGAATTTTTGAAGGTTACAGAAAGACTGAGCCAGAAGATATAATATACTATGGTGTATATGCACTAAAAGCTGCTGCTTGTGATAATGTGAGCAGTAGGTATAGTAAGAACCAGATGAATGATGACAGCCCATATCTGGAGTATCTCAACATGAAGATGGGGAGAAATATGAGGGATTAGAATTGTGCAACAGACCCCTTGGATGTTAGCAGCATGCACTGACTACAGATCTCTTCCATTTTTTACCCTCAGATATACCTTTATTGATGGCTTCTTCACTAGATAGGTACAAAAAACATAGGAAATTTCAATTTTGGAACAGATGTTCTTGTACTAGTTATGGTCTTATAAGGATCTCAAAAGCGTGGCCTTTTAAGGTAGTTTAAGCAGATATCAAGCAATTGTGCTCTGTACAAGTTTTAGACCATTTCTCATCTCTTTTGTTCTGATGTTCTGATGTATGGTGTTTAGATTCTTTCTCTGTATATATAGATGGGTTGTGTGCGATTTATGTGAGTTATGTTGTGATAGTGAGAATACAGTACTGTCAATTTTGAGATCAAAGAAATGAATGGTAGCGTCTTTTCTTCAATGCACTTTTGGAACTACTTCCCATAAGCACTGAAACCAGAAGTTCTTGCTTTCACAACACAGAAACGCTAGATGTTTTGTTCCAATTGACTTTTTTTAGAAAAGCCTCCAGCAATGAGAGTAAGAGCTCATTAGAAACAGTGATTATTCATCCAACAAGGTAATTTATGAAAAAAAAAATGCTTTTAAGGCCCTAAGCATGCATCCAACAAGGTATGTTGTTGGTCTGAAGCCTACCAACAATTTGAAATGTTGATGATAGTTGATAACAAAGAAATTAAGAAAATAACAAAACGCAACTCAAAATCACACAAGAATCCTTCAAAGAGAACCTACTTGATTCACAGAGACCATAATGCAGAACAGGAATTGTAGGATAAGAAAGGGGTAAACCCCAATTTTCAAGTGCAGTTTACTTGTTACCACTTTTAAGAATTTAATTAAATTCACTCTTTAATTATGTGCAGATCATTTTATTATTTGCAAAGACTGAATGAGTTCGTTATCTGATATCATTTCTTATTAAGTTAGTCATCAATTTATTAGCACAATGAATCACAAAATGATATGACTTCTCTCATCTTTAATGACAGCCTTCCCCACCTCAGAACAAAGCTGCAGGAACTACGTGGAAAAGCAAACTTGAAGTGGCAGTGAGGGAGAGTAAAAAAAACATGGAAAAAGGAAGCAGTAATATCAACATTATCTGGATATCAGGTTGGGAGAGTGTCAGAGGCAAACCCTAGCCCTACATTGACCAGTTTAGTTGGGACATTCCATATATCTGTCATAGGACATAATCTATGGACTTCTAAGCACACTTAGTACACTTGAAAACAATGTATTTAAACTGGCAAATCTTCTGTGAATTCTCTAGACATTCTTTAGTATTTAATGAAATACAGGTAGTCTTCAGTTAACAATCGTAATTGGGACTGACAACTCCGTTGTTAAGTGAAAAAAGCAAAAAGCAAAAAATCATGTGACTGTGTTATGATGGCAGTTCCAGCAGTTCTGGTTGCAGTTGTTAAGCGTGACATCATGTGATCATGACTTGCGACTTCCTGACAGCTTCCCCATTGACTTTGTTGGAAGCCACCAATGAAGGTTGCAAATAGTGATCACATGACTCTGGAATGCTGCAACCATCATAACTGCACACCCGTTGCCAAGCACCCAAATCGCAATCACATGACTGCGGGGGTGCTACAACAGTTGCAACTTCAAGGACTGGTCATAAGTCTCCTTGTTCAGTACCGTAGTAAGTTTGAACAGTCACTGAATGAGTGGTCGTTAAGCAAGGGCTACCTGTAATAGAAAAGGTACAGCACTATGAACTATTTCAAGCATGTGAAGCACAAAGTAAGGAAAATTAAAATAGATAATGGATAAATGTCTATGAAATTATATACCATGTGGAAAAAAGAAACCTGGAAGCCAAAAGAAACTAGGATGTCCCTGATAACTGTCATGAAAGTCAGGATTTTCACCAATCTGAAATGGTATTTTGCTTTGCCTCTGAAGTATCATTAAATCATTAAACCTGTTGAAAAACATGAATAACTTTAAAAATATTACATTTTTCAGAAGCTAACTGAAATAAGTGTACTACTGTATGTTTCTAAGTAGCTAACTCAAATAATCCATTATTTTGATACAATTCAACAGTATAATTTCTTCTAGCAATTTTTGGCTCTCTAGGGAGACAGTGGAGTTCCCAATCTTACAGAAAGTGACCCTCTCATTTAACTAGGAGGCAACATCAATATGCTAACTAATTCCTATATTACAAAGAGGCTCATAATCTCAAAACCTGGATTGGAAGGATCTTTGATTTCACAGAGAAGATTGCAGGTTGCACATCCTTCCTCTCATTGTGATGGATGAAGGGATGAGGCTGGGGTGTGTGTATGAGAGAGAGAGAGAGAAAGAGAGAAAGAGAATGAATCCCAGGTATGGAGAAGGTAAAGATCCAAGTGACAACCTGCCTATCCATTGAAATCCTCAATACAATCTTCCCAATCCATGCTCCTATTATATGTGTGTATACATTTATTTAGTTCTACTAAATAAATGGAAACCAATTATAAAATTAAATGCAAAATTAATATAATCAATTTAAAAGCATATACAGTAAATTATGTCTACCCATGGATTTTAACATCCAGTATGCTGAGCTGGTCACTAGAGAAAAAGGAATGTTTAAAATGGCAGAACTTGCAACCATCCTATTCCTAGAATATTCTAACACACATGAACAGAAAATTCATTCTGCAAACGCCAATCTTTATTTATTTCACTGTCAGCTTTCTGATGTCATCAACACAGAGCTTCCAACTCTAACTGAAACCATTCCTGGAGACTTTCTCCCCAATAAATGTGTGCATGGGCCATATATATTATGGATATGTGTATATATACTGGCCAGAATCACATTCTAATAAAAGGTAGGTTCAGAAAAAAATCAAATTAATAACTACTGATTAAAATTAATTATCTGTAGAACAGGCCATTCCATGTGTGCAATTCATTGTTCCCTCATTCTATATATATACACACAAACCATCTTCTCTTACACAAAAGCATATAAACTCCCTTTCCCTTCTTCCAGCAAAAAAAGAAAAAGAGTAGGAAAAACTAGGTTGGTGATGGTGCGCCGCACTGAGAAGGGAAGCAGAGAGGGAAAAGAGCAATGATGAGGTCAGGGAATGAAGTGACTGGAAAGGAAAGGAAGTTACTACACATTTTGCTGTTTTTGAAAGATAGCTTCCACTTGAAAGGTATGATGCTCTTCCAGTATGAGGAAAACAAAGGATAACCTTCTCCATTATTGAAAATCAGGCAAGATATTTTCTCAAGGGGAGGAGGGATATACGTGAATGTACGCAAAAAACCTTTGGTGGGTTCTATGGCCTTCTTTTAGTATTTTCACCCCTCCCCAAAACCTGTAAAGTTGCTGACTTTGCCTGAGGGCAAGGATCATAGAAGTAGTCAATAAATACTACCTTATGCTGATTTTAACCTAAATAGGAAAGTCCAAAAGACAGGGTACATTATACTATCACCTGTCTCATTTGTTGCCATGTTGGCTGGTAACTTTACACAGTGGTAAAGCGTGGATAGAAAGGATATATAAAATAAGAAGAATCATATTTGTGGAAAGAATTCTGCAGACTGCTACTTGCATGAAAGAAAAAAAAAATCTTTATTTAGGATGTGAATGTGTTCAAGTAGATGTCTGGGATGCTTTAATTTGGTTTCCTGCACTGAGTGGGGTTTGGGCTTGAATGGTCTAAATGGCCCCCTCACAATTCTGATTCTGTGCAATTGTTTTTTAGTTAAACTCTTTCCCAAATGGTCAGCATTTGTCCATACAGTCATCAAGGGTTAAACCTGACTCCATGGCACCTAAGAAGCTAATGCTCCTGCGTGTGTGTAAATAAGCACACTTTGCAGATAGGGAAAGGACAATAGCCCCCAATGTTAGAAGGGGAGTAACTGCAATGAGGCAGTAGAGGAGGAGGAGATGTTTCTGTTTCACTTGGAGTAAGGATTCGAGTTTATGGAAAATGAGATTCTGCATCCATGGACTCCCTGAATTTTCTTGGCCCCTCATTGTCACTGTGGAGAAGCTGAAATTTCTCCTTTTCAATAGCCAGTAGATTCTTCTCCCTTTCAGCAATTCTTTGTGTCTATTTGTGTAAGACCATCCCACCCACTTCAAGGTAATAGTTTTGGGGAGAAAAAAATATCTGCATTTTAAGTAAACATAATGCATTGGCACTGATACCCAAAGCTGAGTTTATATGTTGTTTATATTACCTTGATTGCATAAAGGTGATAATTCGATCAGCCCACACAGCAAAGAAATTCACTTGTATAATGAGATCATCAATCCAGGATCCTAAAGATTTATTTGTCTTAAAAGAATGTTTCTGTTATGTAATGAAAGATAAAGTGTAATTACATTTTTAAAAAATACATTAAAATGCAAACATGAAATAGACCAGTAATAGTAAATTGTTCTACTTCAATAAAAAAAAAAGCTTTTAACTGGAATCAGATGACATTGTTAATTTATGGATGATACTCCTGTTAAACTGAGCACAGGAAAACTCTATGGGTTAGAAAAAAATTAGGAAAATGAATTTATTTCATTTGTTTTATTAAATTCATATGGCCGCCCATCTCACCATGTGACTCTTGGCAGCTAACAGCAGTTTAAAAACACAACCAGCAACAGAAATAAAATATACAAATGGCAGCCAAGTTAAAACAACCAACTGAACTGCAATTAAAATAACCATCTCATGAGCTCTAACTGACAATCTGACTGCCAAGGCTGGGAAATTAGCCATGTTTTCAGGGGCTTATGAAAAGCCAACAGGATCAGAGCCAATCTGATCTCCAGGGAAATGATGTTCCACAGGGCAGGCAAAACAACAGAAAAGGCTGTCTTCCTGGGCCCCACCAGACTATATTCCTTAATTGATGGATACTGTATTTTGAACCAGCTGCAGCTTCCAAATGCTTTTCAAGATCAGACCCATGTAGAGCCCATTACAATAGTCTACTTGGAAGGTGAATAAGGCATGTGTGATTGTGAACAGAGCCTCTTGGTCTAGGAAAGGACACAATTGTTCCATAACAAGAAGCTGTGCAAAAGCCCTCATAGCCATTGCTGCCACCTGTTCCTCAAACAGGAGCCACAAGTACAGGAGGACCCCCACATTGCGCACCAGTTCTCTTTGGGGTAATGTCAGCCCATCCAGAACAAGAGATGAAAAGTCTAGAGCCCTAAAACCCAGAGCCACTCAATCTTGCTAGGGGTTGAGCTGAGACCTGTTCTTCCTCATCCAAACCCCCACAGCCTCCAGACACCAAGACAGAACCTCCACAGGATCACTTGGTCAGCCCAGGGCGAATATGTAAACCTGGGTTTCATTAGCATACTGAAAATACCTCATCCTATGCCACTGGATGTCCTGACC